GACTAGCCCATTTTGGTGACACTGACATGGATCCCATGTACATTTGTACTTGCTAACCCATTTTGGTGACACTGACATGGATCCCATGTACATTTGTACTGGCTAGCCAATTTTGGTGACACTGACATGGATCCCATGTACATTTGTACTGGCTAGCCCATTTTGGTGACACTTACATGGATCCCATGTACATTTGTACTGGGTAGCCCATTTTGGTGACACTGACATGGATCCCATGTACATTTGTACTGGCTAGCCCATTTTGATGACGCTTACATGGATCCCATGTACATTTGTACTTGCTAACCCATTTTGGTGACACTGACATGGATCCCATGTACATTTGTACTGGCTAGCCCATTTTGGTGACACTTACATGGATCGCATGTACATTTATACTGGCTAACCCATTTTGGTGACACTGACATGGATCCCATGTACATTTGTACTGGCTAGCTCATTTTGTTGTGTTGTTCAATCTTGTGCAATCGTTTTCATTGGTGTGAAAATAAAAAAGTTTAAAAATTATTTTTTTGAATTATAGTTATTTAAATTATATAATTTATTATTTCATTTTCAAATGCTTTTACTAAACATTAATAAACTATTAAGTTGAAATTGAAAGACTTCCGCCAAAATGTGAACATGAAGACAATTTTAAACAAATTTGCAAAAATAGCAAACCCTTCAAACCCTTTTGTTCGCTCATACATTACAGAAATTCGTGTTTACTGAATTGCATTGCACTGACTCATTTTCATAATATACCTACGCAGTCTCAAAATAATTTGGCAGACTTACAACTTTCGATATAGGCGATGTGACGCCATAACCGGGATTTCCCTAATTAAAATGTAAATTGTCAATGTATGGGATTTTAGTTGGTTAAAATGTATCACGTGGTACACCAATGACGTAATGTCTGATTCCATGGGTATTACGATGTTGTCACTGTTTCTTCGAATTATTACTCACATTCACTACAAAAACGCTAGTTTTCAATTTGGAAATGTAGACAAGATCAAACCTTGCTTCAATCATGGCAGACGACAGAACCACGGTTTGTAATTTTTTATTTATTTTGTTCAGTTTAAGTTTTTACAATTCGTAAACATTTATAATTCATATTCAAAAATCAAATAGAGAATAGTTTCAGCATCTATTTCATTAGTTTTTCAAACTATTCGTTTTGAGTTACAGCTCAATGTTGTGCGTGTAAATTGCAAAAACCGATTTGCTGCACAAATGTTTGTCTTCACATTTAGTGCCACACCCTTCCCTGTTGACTTACATTTAGTGCCACACCCTTCCCTGTCCTCCTACTGTTATATATTCAGCTTAGCAAAAATTTGAAATATGTTTGCGCAAAGTGGAATTTCCTTAATTATCGTGGATATGATGCTTGAATTACATAGAAATAATGTGTCAAGCTATTCTTCAAATTAATATTCACCATGCGATGCTTTCACTTTCGTTTCAGTCGTCAGGGGAACGGGTCTGTCCATTATCTCAGGGGTAACTCGCTATCCAGTATTCACACGGTCTGCCTTGCATTTCGGGCATGCAAGCGATATGATTGAGAATTTGGCACACAGATCGGAAGACACGATTTGTTCATGTATTTGACACCCACCCTCTATCATTTTCAGGGGAGACTGGAATTATGTATACCAAACTTGCATGACGACCAATCACTGACAAATAATAATCAAACTGTCCTGTTTAGACCCACAGTCTCCACTTACAAACAGATTGGCCCTTATCTGTCTGGCTTGGCAATGTTTATGCATGTTTTATATCTAGTTTTTTATATACTGATAGTTTATGCTTATTAGTCCCCGTTCAGACACCTCCGTGTGTCCGTGCGTGCGTCTGTGCGTGCGTCCGAACCTATATCTTAAAAATGCCTGTACCAATCACAATCAAACTTCACACATACATCATATGATATTATACATATGCACATCAATTTGTTTCACGATCTGATTCAAGATGGCCGAATGGCGGCCATTTTTGTGCTAAAAATCATCAAAATCAAGCATTTCTCGGCTGTTTACAAATTGATTTTGTTCAAATTTGGTATATACATTAGACGTTAAGGGACCTTGATGCAAATAATTTTGTTTTTCAGATAAGATTAAAAATGGCCGACTGGTGGCCATTTTGTTTTAATGAATGTGGCTCTCGTGCCATATCTCTGACTTGCTTTTACTGATTATATTCAAATTTCAAATATTCATTATACATGATGTCATAGATAGAAGGATATATTGGTTTGACGATCCTTTTCAAAATGGCTAAATGGTGGCCATTTTTGTGCTACAAAATCATCAAATATCAAGCATTTCTGGCATTTATGGATAGATTTCGTTCAAACTTGGTACATATATTAGACATTAAAGGTCCCTGATGCACATCATTTATTTTTCAGATCGGATTCAAAATGGCTGTCTGGAGGCCATTTTGTTTTAATGAATGGGCTTTTAGACTCATATCTCCGACTTGTTTTGACTGATTATATTCAAATTTTAAATATTCATTATGCATCATGTCATAGATAAACAGATTTATTGGTTTGACGATCCTATTCAAAATACCCGAATGGTGGTCATTTTTGTGCTAAAAAATCATCAGATATCAAGCATTTCTCGCATTAATGGAAGAATTTCGTTCAAACTTGGTACATACATTAGACGGGTTCCTCATGCACGTCATTTTATCTTTCAGATTGGATTCAAAATGGCTGACTGACGGCCATTTTGTTTTAATGATTGGGGTTCTAGAGCCATATCTCTTAAATGCTTTGACTGATTATATTCAATTTTTATATATTCGTTATACATCATGTTATATATATACATGTATTCAAAATGGCTTATTTTGAATGCTGTTCCAGAGCAATATCTCTCAATATGACCAAGTACTTGTTTGACGATCAGATAAAAATGTCAATCATTTTAATATTAAAAAATCATATTCCTGACATGGTTATATTCCAGCTATATTACTATATATCTTAAATTTGATAACTAACGGAGACTGTGCCTTGCATGGCTTGTTTATTTTTGTTCTTTTCTAAATAATTGAGTGTCAAATGTAACAATCATTTAATAGTGATCTGTTTTCCAAGGTTAAAAGTGCTGTCACACATGTGTAGTGAACAAATCAATTGAGTTACCTAACAGCTTCTCAAAGATTTTTGGAGCTCGAGGTATTCGAGGTAATTCTTAGATAGATGTGATCAAATAAAAGTAGATGATTATGAATCATGTATTATAAATATAACATACATGTACTTATTATTACGTCATTGTCAGCTCTACTGAAAGGCAATATTGTCGAGAGCAGCAAGCACACTAAGTCAGAAAAATGCAATATATGTATATAAAACAGTGGGATACAGAATATACAACTATAAATTAGTTATTAGGATTTGACTGTCGGTTTGTTGTGAAGTAGACATGGATTCAATACTTGTTGTCGAATGCTTTTAGGGAATGGAGGTTTGTGGCTTGGTGTTGAGAAAGGAGACAAGCGGTAGTTATCATGGAAAATTTATGTTTAATATGTAAAGCTGTCAGTGGGATAAAGCAATTGGTAAAAATAATGGAACTCAAAATTGTTCAATATATTTTTTGATAGCAAGAACTACAACGTCTTATTAAATATTGAAATTATATTAAAGTAGATTGGTAGTGAGAGCATTTATTGCACATGAATTTCAATAGATTTCATTATTAGGTGGCATTATGATCATATGCATTTCGGTGAGTTTTCAAAGCCGACATTTAACATTAAAAAAAAATTTAATTTAAAGAAAGGGAAACATTAACCTATGCACTACTCTATAGTTTCAAAAATACCACATTTTATAAAAATAATTACTGGTAAACAACATTCCAGAGCACACAACAGTTGATTTCGTCTGTGTCCTTGTTTACAAACAAGCGTCTACCCATGAGCTTTTGCATTTTTAGCGTGTGTTGAAATCGTCGCTTGGGTCTTTAATTCCCGCACGTGCGCAGGTGACGACCCTCCCGCTTTAATCGTGGCTATGACACACTGTAATTATATGTAAATAGTGTACAAGACTATTCTCCAAATTACTATTCATGAAGCAGTGGTTTCACTTTCGGTTAACTAATGAGGAGAATGAACTCTTATTGGGGTCGGCTACCTATCCAGTATTTTAAACAGTCTGTCTAGTATCTCAGACATACGATCTATCTGGATGGACATTAACACACAGACAGAGGGACGTGATTTGTACTGTATTTGATCCAAGCGCTCAGTGATTATCGCCTAGCGACAGCAGAATATCGCTCACGGTCTTTTAAATCATTCCGAGTTTTGAAAATAAAATAAAAATATTTGAAAATAAATATAACATACATGTACTTAGATTATTATTACGTCATTGTCAGCTCTACTGAAATGCAATACTGTCGGGAGCAGCAAGCACACCGAGTCAGAAAAACGCAATATATGTACATACAACAGTCGGGTACAGAATATACAACTATAAATTAGTTATTAGGATCTGACTGAAATCGATTTGTTGTGAAGTAGACATGGATTCAATACTTGTTGAAGAATGCTTTTAGGAAATGGAGATTTGTGGCTTGGTGTTGAGAAAGGAGACAAGCGGTAGTAATCATGAACATTCTGTGGTTAATATGTAAAGCTGTCAGTGGGATAAAGCGATGGGTAAAAATAATGAAACTCAAAATTGTTCAATATATTTTTTGATAGCAAGAACATTATCGTCTTATTAAATATTGGGACTTAGCAGCTATTTTAGTGCATCTAACAATGACGCAAATATTTAGCATAGCGTTTACTTCAACATACATAAACACAGAAGTTCGCCACCGCAGACATACTTCTGAAATATGAATACGTATCAGAGTTTGGCTGCAGCTTAGTAAACAAGTGCACAGATGTGCCACTTCGTATCATTGACCTTATGACGTTGGCAGGGACGCATGCGTGGTGCAATACTAGACAACGAGGCCGAGCATGCTCAGTACGTACAGAAACTGCTAAAAACGTTAATATGTAATGAACGATTCAGCCGTATCTCACGAATGATATTTGAACGTCCAATTATTTAATAGAAAGCACATTTATTGCACATGAATTTCAATATATTTGACTATTAAGTGGCATTATAATCATATGCATTTCGGTGAGTTTTCAAAGCCGACATTTAACATTAACATTTTTTTTTTAATTTAAAGAGAGAGAAACATTAACCTATGCACTACTCTACAGTTTCAAAAATACCACATTTTATAAAAATAATTACCGTAAACAACATTCCAGAGCACACAAGAGGTGATTTCGTCGGTGTCCTTGTTTACAAACAAGCGTCTACCCATGAGCCTTTGCATTTTTAGCGTGTGTTGAAATCGTCGCTTGGGTCTTTAATTCCCGCACGTGCGCAGGTGACGACCCTTCCGCTTTAATCGTGGCTATGACACACTGAAATTATATGGAAATAGTGTACAAGACTATTCTCCAAATTACTATTCATGAAGCAGTGGTTTCACTTTCGGTTAACTAATGAGGAGAATGAACTCTTATTGTGGGCGGCTACCTATCCAGTATTTCAAGCAGTCTGTCTAGTATCTCGAACATACGATCTATATGGATGGACATTAACACACAGACAGAGGGACGTGATTTGTACTGTAATTGATCCAAGCTCGCAGTGATTATCGCCTAGTGACAGTAGAATATTGCTCACGGTCTTTTAAATCATTCCGAGTTTTGAAAATAATATTTAAATATTTGAAAATAAATATAACATACATGTACTTACATTATTATTACGTCATTGTCAGCTCTACTGAAATGCATACTGTCGAGAGCAGCAAGCACACCGAGTCAGAAAAACGCAATATATGTACATACAACAGTCGGATACAGAATATACAACTATAAATTAGTAAAAGGATTTGACTGAAGTCGGTTTGTTGTGAAGTAGACATGGATTCAATACTTGTTGTAGAATGCTTTTAGGGAATGGAGATTTGTGGCTTGGTGTTGAGAAAGGAGACAAGCGGTAGTTATCATGGAAAATTTATGTTTTTAAACTCTTAATTAAAATATGAAAGCTGTCAGTGGGATAAAGCAATGGGTAAACATAATGAAACTCAAAATTGTTCAATATATTTTTTGATAGCAAGAACTACAACGTCTTATTAAATATTGAAATAATATTAAAGTAGATTGGTAGTGAGAGCATTTATTGCACATGAATTTCAATAGATTTCATTATTAGGTGGCATTATGATCATATGCATTTCGGTGAGTTTTCAAAGCCGACATTTAACATTAACATTTTTTTTAATTTAAAGAGAGAGAAACATTAACCTATGCACTACTCTACAGTTTCAAAAATACCACATTTTATAAAATAATTACCAGTAAACAACATTTAGGAGCACACACCAGTTGATTTCGGTGGGCTCTGATATGAGCAGTCTGGGTTGTTCTGTGTACATCAGCCAGACATTTGTCAAAGGCATTGGGACTTAGCAGCTATTTTAGTGCATCTGACAATGACGCAAATATTTAGCATAGCGTTTACTTTAAGTTCGCCACCGCAGATATACTTCTGAAATATGAATACCTATCAGAGTTTTGGCTGCAGCTTAGTAAACAAATGCACAGATGTGCCACTTCGTGCCATTGACCTAATGACGTTGGCAGGGACGCATGCGTGGTGCAATACTAGACAACGAGGCCGAGCATGCGCAGTACGTACAAAAAGGTGCTAAAAACGTTAATATGTAATGAACGATTCAGCCGTATCTCACGAATGATATTTGAACGTCCAATTATTTAATAGAAAGCTTTGATCATGAAACATTGCAACCACGTATTTTCGGTCTCGGTATGCAGCTTGTCTATTGTGGTAATCAGAAGTATGTATACGCTTCTTATCATACTGAATTGGTAACACGTGTAGATGTGTGAGAAGAAAAAGACTTCGACATTTTATAGCGCCGCCAGCGGAGACTTTTCCGGCTCTATTCGTTCAGTCTTGAGTGGCTGCATTAACTTTTTAGCTGGGGCGGAGCTGGGCTATTCATATTACTGATTATCCGTCGTCCGTTATTGTGGCGGTTCTAACTATAAAATATGCGAATGAGTCGATTTCGTACCCGTCTTAGGGACGGATCAGTTATTATAGCCGGGGCTGGGCCGGCAAATTCCGGGGCTCCTTATTTCTGAAGTATCAAGAGCGGGGGGGTCAGTTTTTTTCAGACAGCATTTGAGGGGGGTCACCTTATTTATAAATTATTGCAAATTATAAGTTACAACAAGCCATACTTTCTTCACAGAATTTTGCAAGTATAAACTGTTACTTTCTTTTCAGGCTGGTATTATCGGTATTGTATTTCTATAGCATTTCGAAATTAGTACACTAGCAAATATCGGTATTTTAATTATAATTTATTGCGGTGCACCACATAAATAATTTATGGCGTATGACAGCAAATAATATAAAAACTTGTGAAATGGAATATTAACAATATTGCAACAATTAATGCCAACACATTAAATGTGAAAATAGCACAACACGATCTAAGTCTTGAATGTGATTTGTAAATATAAACTGTAAACAGAAATAAACTAGTTATAAATTGCAATAATGTCAATGTAAATGTTGACAAATACAGTACATGACAACACCCTGTAAAGTATGGTCGGTTATATGTAAAATAATTTATATTGACTACAGAACAATAAATTAAATAAAACTAGCCATGCATGACATAGTCCCTGTTAGTTATCGAATTTAAGATATATAGTTTTGTTTATAGTAATATAGCTGAAATATAACCATGTCAAGAATAGGATTATGATGATTGTTTAACATTAAAATGATTGACATTTGTATCTGGTCGTCAAACGAGTACTTGTCCACATTGAGAGATATTGCTCTGGAACAGCATTAATTAAAACAAAATCAGCCATTTTGAATACATGTATATATGACGTACATTGTATAATGAATATGTAAAATTTGAACATAATCAGTCAAAGCATGTCGGAGATGGCTCTAGAAGCCCATTCATTAAAACAAAATGGCCACCAGTCAGTCATTTTGAATCCAATCTGAAAAATAAAATGACGTGCATCAGGAACCCGTAATGTTTAACGTATGTACCAAGTTTGAACGAAATCCATGGATAAATGCCAGAAATGCTTGATATTTGATGATTTTTTAGCACAAAAATGGCCACCATTCGGTCATTTTTAATAGGATCGTCAAACCAATATATCTATATCTATGACATGTATAATGAATATTTACAATTTGAACATACTCCTTCAAAGTAAGTCAGAGATATGGCACTAGAACCACATTCATTAAAAAAATAGCCGCCAATCGGCCATTTTGAATCTTATCTAAAAAACAAAATGACGTGCATCAAGGTCCTATAATATCCAATGTATATAAAAAAAATTGAACAAAATCCATCTGTAAACAACCGAGAAATGCTTAATTTTGACGATTTTTCAGTACAAAAATGACTGCCATTCGGCCATCTTGAATCAGACCGTGGAACAAATTGATGTGCATATGTATAATGTCATTTATGCTGCATGTGTGATGTTTGATTGTGATTGGTCCAGGCATTTCTAAGATACAGGCCCGAAGGCACGGACACACGAAGGTCAAAACATAAGTCCCCGTTTTCGGACTGCGTCCGAACGGGCACTAAATATAAAAAGTGCTTTATGTAAATGTGTAAATTATACCACAATAAATAAATATTAGTAAGTGGAAATAAATAGGTTGACAGATTCTAAGCTATTAATTATTTGCAGTTAGCAATCACTGTCACATGACTAAAAGTATGGAAATTTACAGGAAACACAATAAAGTATGATATAAAAAAATTAGTAATTAGTAAAATATAGCAAACATTGGTTTATCTTATTCTTTATTTATATTCCTATATTTCCCAGCTACTTCTTCTTTTTTTCCTTTCCGTTCGTTAATCTGTATCCTTCTGTTTCTATTCTAAAACATCCTTTTCTTCCTTCTCACTTTGCTCTCCTTCTACTTCTCCATCCTCCTCCTCTTCCTCTTCCTCTTCTTCTTCCTCCTCTTCTTCTTCTTCCCCCTCCTCCTTCTCCTCTTCCTTCTTCAACTCCTGCTCCTCCCCCTCCTGTATACAGTATTGAAGTTTGAGTTCCTCACAAATGTTTACAACTTTCTTTCTGGTCAGTGAATAGGAGGATCACAGTGAAGTGCGGTATACAGTGACAACAAGATCTGGGATACAAGCAGGCACTTGGAGACATGCACTGTTTCGTTGATTTGTATAAACATTTATTTTTCACTCAATGACTATAGTATACAGACAATCTACACAGACTAACTACAACTAAACTAAATAATTAACTATAAAAATGTTTCTAAAAGAACTGAAAATTGGGGGGTGTCACATTACGTTCAGTCTTTGTCGGGGGCACCATAATTTTCATTGTGGATACAGGGGGGTTTATTGATTTTGTTTCTACATTTACAAAACATTACCGGCCCAGCCCCAATCATAAAAACTGATCGATTCCTTAGCTATTCACATTGACCATTGTTGTCAGGCAACTTTTTCAGCCAGATTATCTGGCACACACACAGAGGCATATTTTATGTGTACTTTGGATGGTTCTCACGGATTTTTCCATTTCATGACAAAATATATAGTTGACTCCTGTATGCAAAGTACACAATGGGAGTCTTTGCAGTTAGTCCGTCTGTATGTATGTGTTTATGTATGGGGGTGTATGTGTCTAGATCTGTTCCACTGAACCATATGTTTTTTTTATATACAACTTGCTATATAGATGCTCTGGGCTAATGCGCAGATTTGATTAGGTTTTGGTAAAAAATTATGCATATTAATTATCTAATTTGCATGATAATTAATACGCATGATTGTTTCACTGATATCTAAGGAACCACTACTTAGATTTTGATAAAAATTGGTACATAGATTATGTGGACTACTGCACAGATTTAATTGGTTTTCGGTAAAAAATGTAAGCATACAAAGTACCTAATTAGCATAATTAATACATTTTCAGCTTTTTCATGAACATTTCAAGTACTTATCATCTTATTTCAATGAATCTCTAAGACAATGCGACGATTTAATTAGGTTTGAGTATACATACATTCATATTAATTGTCCAATTTGCATAATAATTTACATTTCAGCTTTACACCAATACACAGAAATAAATGAATGGATAGTAATTGATTAATAAGTTCATTGGGGTAATCCACAGACATGATTAATTTTATGTTGAAAAACATAGATATTGATTATCTGAACAAAACTGATTTAAATTGAATTTATCACAGAGGTGCTCTGGAATTACACTGAAAACCACAGTTGTAAAATAAAATGTATTTTCTGTAATATTATAAATGTTGATAATAAGGTTCAAATGTTGTGCATCTCAAATAGCAGACAAATATTAGTTGCCAAGCTTCTTGTTTTAAATGCTAATTTAAAATTTTTGAATAATTATAATGTGTCTTCAATACTCTCTCGCACACGGGAGTGCTTTCTAAGCTTTCTTTTGTAACGAATATGTTTGTGAATGGATCGCCAGCCACATTGCGTTGACATTTCTCATGTTTGTGTATCAGATCCAACTCAATAAGATCATGTGTATCTGGAATAATCCGGAGATCTGATTAATGTTTGTTCAACAATTTGCAGTTTAAATATATAATTTGTATAATTATCATTTGTTTATATATCCGCATATGGCATATATGTCTACGTTTATATCTATAATCGCTCTTTGATTGAATTCATCGCCGCACAAACAGTGTTGTATCTCATCTGTAGTACAGACGACGATTAACAAGATATATACAACAATATTACATTGCTCAAATTATGAATATATAACTTGTATATTTTAGATTTTCATCACTGGAAAGAACCTGACACCGGAACAATTAATGGTCCTTGGAAAGGGTGGTGCAATCATTAAGGTGTGTTCCATAGACCACTATACCAACTCTAATATATGAGCAAAGAAACGAAATGTTTCGTTTTTATCTTCTACACCGAGTAATGCAATCTGACATACAATTTAGTTTTTTACTCATTGGTTTTATACTTTTATTATTCCCAGCTGTCAGCTGATGCATTGTTAAGTGTCAAACTATCGAAGAAGGTTATAGACGATATACTGGAAGACGACACCAAAGGTACTACTTGCTTGTATTTTTATGAGATTTTGTTTCTATTCTATTATATTATATTATATTATATTATATTATATTATATTATATTCTATTATATTCTATTATATTCTATTATATTCTATTATATTCTATTATATTATATTATATTATATTATATTATATTATATTATATTATATTATATTATATTCTATTCTATTATATTATATTATATTATATTATATTATATTATATTATATTATATTATATTATATTATATTATCAAGTAATATATGGCGTAAACACTGGATTTGGAGAGCTGAGATCAGAAGTGATCCCAAGAGACAAACTTTGGTAAGAAAATGATCAATGGAAAGCATACAGATACATATAAATATCTAACATCATTGTAATTCTGCGAGGGGTTTTTATTCAAACAATGAAATATATGTGTCATTCAATTCATCTTAATTCTTAAAGCTAATTCATATCATGACCCCACCCTTGCCTTTTAAATATAACAGTAATGTCTGCTTTACGTTACAGTGAACTACAAGAAAACCTTATCCGATCACATGCATCTGGAGTAGGAGAGCCGCTGAGTCCGCAAAAGACACGTATGTTGATGGCGATTCGAATCAATGTACTGGCCAGAGGAAACAGCGGAATATCTGTTGAAACATTGGAACGTTTCATAAACGCTTTCAATGGTGAGTTCCATTTTTTTTAAAAACTGACATTTTTAAAATTGATTATAAACTGTTACTATGACTATAACATGTTTCTTTGTATTTTAAGCATCCTGTTTATCGTACGTTCCCGAAAAGGGCACAGTTGGTGCTTGTGGTGACCTGGCACCGTTGGCACATCTGTCGCTAGGAATGATGGGAGAAGGAGACATGTGGAACCCAGATACACAACAGTTTGGTAAAGCAAATGAGGTATGAAGTGAGTTTTTGATATTGGACTGACTCAATTATTGTATTATGAATAATATTTACAGAAACCATTGCCATTATATCTATAAATGCCTTAACCACAATAACAAAGACCCTGGTTAACCATGATAACCATCATCTGTAAAGGTCTATGTCAACCATGATAACCATCTTCCAAGTCCAGGTTAACCATAACCATCTAAAAAGGCCCAGGTTAGTAATGATAACCATCTTTAAAAGTCCAGGTTAACCATAATCATCTCAAAAGGCCCAGGTAAGTAATTATAACCATCTTTAAAGGTCCAGGTTAACCATAATAACCATCTTTAAAGGTTCAGGTTAACCATAACCATCTAAAAAGGCCAAGGTTAGTAATGATAACCATCTTTAAAGGTCCAGATTAACCATAACCACCTAAAAGGCCCAGGTTAGTAATGATAACCATCTTTAAAAGTCCAGATTAACCATAACCATCTAAAAGGCCCAGATTAGTAATGATAACCATCTTTAAAAGTCCAGATTAACCATAACCATCTAATAGGGCCCAGGTTAGTAATGTTAACCATCTTTAAAAGTCCAGATTAACCATAACAATCTAAAAGGCCCATGTTAGTAATGACAACCATCTTCAAAAGTCCAGATTAACCATAACCATATAATAGGGCCCAGGTTAGTAATGATAACGATCTTTAAAAGTCCAGATTAACCATAACCATCTAAAAGGCCCAGGTTAGTAATGGTAACCATCTTTAAAAGTCCAGATTAACCATAACCATATAATAGGGCCCAGGTTAGTAATGATAACCATCTTTAAAAGTCCAGATTAACCATAACCATCTAAAAGGACCAGGTTAGTAATGATAACCATCTTTAAAAGTCCAGATTAACCATAACCATCTAAAAGGCCCAGGTTAGTAATGATAACCATCTTTAAAAGTCCAGATTAACCATAACCATCTAAAAGGCCCAGATTAGTAATGATAACCATCTTTAAAAGTCCAGATTAACCATAACCATTTAAAAGGCCCAGGTTAGTAATGATAACCATCTTTAAAAGTTCAGATTAACCATAATCATCTAAAAAGGGTCCAGGTTAGTAAAGATAACCATCTTTAAAAGTCCAGATTAACCATAACCATCTAAAATGCCCAGGTTAGTAATGATAACCATCTTTTAAAGTCCAGATTAACCAAGATCATCTAATAGGGCCCAGGTTAGTAATGATAACCATCTTTAAAAGTTCAGATTAACCATAACCATCTAATAGGGCCCAGGTTAGTAATGATAACTATCTTTTAAAGTCCAGATTAACCATAACCATCTAAAAGGCCCAGGTTAGTAATGATAGCCATCTTTAAAAGTCCAGATTAACCATAACCATCTAATAGGGCCATGGTTAGCAATGATAACCATCTTCAATAGTCCAGATTAACCATAACCATCTAAAAGGCCCAGATTAGTAATTATTACCATCATTAAAGTCCAGATTAACCATAACCATCTAATAGGGCCCAGGTTAGTATTGATAACCATCTTTTAAAGTCCAGATTAACCATAACCATCTAAAAGGCCCAGATTAGTAATGATAACCATCTTTAAAAGTCCAGATTAACCATATCCATCTA